GGAGGAAGCAGGCTCCCTGCTGAGCAGAGAGCCCGATGCGGGGCTCTATCCCAAGACCCTGGGATCATGACCTGAGCCGAAGGCAGAGGCTTTAACCCACTGAGCCACCCAGGCGCCCTCAAGATCCAATTTTAATATGCAAATGCTTCAGTTAGTCATCTTAAATATTGATCCATTTGAAGTTTGCAACCTGGAAACTTAGCCTTACAAAGGGAGAGCAGTAATCTTTCCTGTCATTTGTAAAGCTGAGAGTGTTGTTTATGAGTAAATAACCCAGCTTTAAAAGGAATAAGCCTTGAAGAATGAGCATTCACTTCCCAAGCACTTGGCATGGAATGAGTTCTATGTGGATCTACTGAGATCTTAGGATAGAAAACTCCTGGACAGGTGGGACTCAAATGGGGCAGGGTGGCCCTTCTAGGACTGTGTCTGTGGTGGAGGCCTGCTGTCCAGGTCACCCAGGGACCTCATCCCAAACACCTGAAATATAAAGGTGGGGGAATGTATTTTCAAAAAATTTTATTCTAAGATAGCCCTTAAATATCCCCAGATCCCTTTGACCTGGAGAAGCAAATTCATGACATTCCTCCTGCTCAGCATGTCTCTGTCCTTGCCCTTCAAGGCTGGCTTATGCTGAAGAGGACAGATTTCACATGCTAACAGGGCATAATCCACCATGGCGGGGGGCAAAATGGGAAACAGGGTGCCCAGGTCCAGCCTGGGAAGGCTGTGAGTGAATTCATAACTGGAGAGCCACCACGATGTCTTGGATCCTTTGGCTCTAGAATACTTGTTTGGGACTAACTTTCTGAAATGAAGAACCTTTCTGCACACTTGGTTAGAAAAGAAACAATCAGGGCACCTGGGTGTCTCATTCAGTTGGGTGTCTGCTTTCAGCTCAGGCCCGCGTCGGACTCCCTGTTTGATGGGGAGCCTGCTTCTCCCTCTGCCTGCTGCTCCCCCTGCTTGTGTGCTCTCTCTCTTTTCTTTGTCAAGTGGATAGATAAAATTGAAAGAAGGAAGGAAGGAAGGAAGGAAAGAGAGAGAGAGAGAAAGAAAGAAAGAAAGAAAGAAAGAAAGAAAGAAAGGGAGGAGAGGGGAGGGGAGGGGAGGGAGGAAGAAAGGAAGGGGGACACCTGGGTGGCTCAGTCAGTTAAGCCACTGCCTTTGGCTCAGGTCATGATCCCAGAGTCCTGGGATGGAGTCCTGCATTGGGCTCCTTGCTTGGCGGGGAGCCTGCTTCTCTCTCTGCCTGTGCCTGCTACTCTGTTTGTGCTTTCTCTCTCTCTCCCTCTCTCTCTCTGACAAATAAATAAAATCTTAAAAAAAAAAAAAAAAGAAAGAAAGAGTGAAAGAAATAATCTGTAGAAGAAATAATCTGTAGAAGAGGCAAAACCAGGTTTGGGCGAAGTTACCTTGGTGAGACCCTGGCGAGGTGGCCTGGAAGACTGGTATCTGGGTGCATGCGTGTTTGGGGGTGCATGGGGGAGGGTGAGCAAGTGTACGGCAGGGAGCTCCTCCTGGGATGCATCCTGGAGCCACCCACCCACCTCCCCCAACTAGACCAATTCTACCAGAATCTCAGGAAGTGGGAAGTGCAGGGTTGAATCCACCATCTAAGTTCTTAGAAAGAGTTCTCTCCACGTGTTACCCTAAGAATTTTGTTCATAGTCCCACCTTGGATAATGTCATCAAGGAGGTTCATTGTCCCCTCTGCCTATGCCTTCCGCCCCAGACAGGTGCTGTCTTGAGGATACAAGCCACGAGGGTGGGAGCCCTCGGCAGGCAGGTTTCTCCTCTTCTGTTCCACGACTGAGCCAAGGTTCCAAAGACATGGTTTTTGTGAGATCTCCAAGGCTGGTCACCCCCACAGTCCTTCTGTGTGTCACTTTGGGTGTCACAAATGGAGGAAACCCCTAATCATCAGTCAGGATCTCCCATGAGCAACAAAAAAGTTCTTTCAATATTATAATAATTTGGAAAACTGATTGATTAAACAAGACATTAGTTCTAACTGTTGGGGGTGGGGAATGACAATTGTTAAAGTAGTAAATCACATAAGAAAGGGAGCCCAGGAAGGTCTGTAATCAGAAAACACGCTCTTAGAAAATATTTTGAGGAAATCCATTTATGTGTCTGTCCTATGAGTTGGAAAGAGTCTAGAGTCTGGGTTTGCATCTGCCATTCCACATCCTGGCCTAAGAGTTCAGTTCCCTGATCCCTAGCTCCCTCACTCGTGTAACGGGAAGAACAGTAGCCCAGTAGCGTAACACTCACAAAATTGTGTTGGGGCTGGCACGGGTGTTCTGGCTAATCCCAAGAGCAAAGCAGTTCCAGTTCCAGGGCCCACCCCAGTCCTTCCTAGTCCCCAGCCTCACAGCCTACGGCAAAGGGAGTGCTAGTGCAGGGAGCCAGCTGAGATGGGCTGCTCCCATGTGCCTTGGTTTCCCCTCTGCAAAAAGAGCAAGCTCAGCCCTGTCATCCAAGCTGAATAATTTGGCCAGAGTAGAGTGATAATCTCTCAAATCAAATGGTATCCTCAGGGTCATCAATTGATTTCCAGTGTACCCTGGCTCTGTCCTATACCAGCCATGTCCCTCGAGGCAAGGGCTTTAATCTCCCTCAGACTGGCTCCCTCATCATTTGCAAAATAAATATGGTAGTACAGGACTGTTGTAAAGATTAAGGTCTTTGTGATAGAGCATAGGAAACATGAGCACAATGCCTAGAACATGAAAATAGTCACAGTCACTACGATTGGCTTATCAAAAGAAGCAGGCTTAGGAATTCCTGAGTAGTGCTGTACAGTTTTAAGATAATAAGGCCACATTTATTTAGGAAAAGACCTCTAATTCATTCTCTCACTCTTCCAACCAGCCCTGTGCCCTGTTCCATTCAAATTGGTGAGGTTTTTGTTGCTCCAATAGCCAAGTAGTGTCCACGGCCAGGCCCCGCCCCCACACTGATTCTCCCGGGGACCCCACCTACAGTGGTCAGTGTGGCATGACAGAAGTGACCTCCAACATCTCCCAGTCCTAAGTCCCAGGATTCTTTGTCATCAGACTCACTTGTCGCTCGCTCAATGGGAAGGGGAGTTGTAGCACTTGTTGGGGTCTTGCGTCCGTCTTCCCTGACCTTGCCCATCTCTCCCGGCAGGCGGTAAAGCGGTTCTTGAAGCAGGAATGCAAGTGTCACGGCGTGAGTGGCTCGTGTACTCTGCGGACATGCTGGCTGGCCATGGCCGACTTCAGAAGGACGGGCGATTACCTCTGGAGGAAGTACAATGGGGCCATTCAGGTCGTCATGAACCAGGATGGCACTGGTTTCACTGTGGCTAACAAGAGGTTTAAGAAGCCAACAAAAAATGACCTCGTGTACTTTGAGAATTCTCCAGACTATTGTATCAGGGACCGAGATGCAGGTAAGTTCAAAACCCTTTACTCACAGTACCTCATTCAACGATCGGTCCTCCCCAGTCTCAGTCTGGTCCTGTTTTCAGCCTGACAACTCTGTAAGTGAGCCGGCTGCCTTCAGGTTCAACGTTCATGGTCTTATAATTCATACTTCAAGTGTGAAATATGAATTCATATTTATAATTCATATTTCAGAGAGCTTTCCTAGGCAACTGGAGAAATGGGTTGAGAATGTTCAGGTTCTAGAGAAAAGTGACCCCAGGAAGGTACCTGGCAGAGTCACAATATGCAGACTAACCAAATTCTTAAGCCGGGACGAAACTCTGGTGAACTCATGACACTCTGTACAGCAACCTGGCATCTTCCCTGTGATCCTGAAGCCAAGAGGAGTAGAGAGAGCTATGCAATGAACCTTCTCTGTTACAGATCCATCTATGTGACTATGAAGAGGGACCCAGGCCTTTAAAGTTAGCCAGTTTTGAGATCCGCAATGCTTCTCAGTCCCTCGTTCTTTCCAATATGCTGAGAAGTTGTCAAATACTAGAGGGCAAAAATGCATCCCCACTGGCGTGGCCATTGGTGGGCAGTGGATGAGAGCTGTGTAAGGGGCATTTTGTTTATTAGAGCCACACCACTGCCTTTCAGGCAGTGCTTTGTCTGTCTTGGACTCACTCGAAGGGCAGCTCCATCAGCCTCAACATAGCTGTTTCCACCAGCGTGATTTTAGGCACCTGCTCTTCACCTCTCACCCCTCCCAGGCAGCCCTGAGCTCCAGGCATAGCACAGTCTTTGCAAAGACTCATACAAAATAAGTCTCAGTGGATAGGAGGAGATGGAGAGCCCACAGCCAACTCTGGCTCGAGCCAACTTCCCAGACTTAGTAGAAAGCAAGGGAATTTATTATCAGGAAAAACGTCCTTGAATTTAAATCTAAAATTTAAATCTAAATTTAAATCTAAAATTGTTTTTGGTTCTAAAGTAATTGCAAAGAAACCAGTAGAACAGCCAGCTCCTAACACTAGATTAACCATGAGGGATAATTACCAGGGAATGTCACAAGAAGTCCAGAGCCTCTCCTTTGTCCCTGAGCGGTTGAATTTCCCTCCTGGTTTGAGGAGCACGTTCCTTACAGCACCGGACGGGTCTATACCTGCAGCCTACGGATTAGCTAGGACCGAGCACAGGGACTAGAATGCTGCTGCATTCCTGACATGCTTTGGGACCTCTAACAAGTCATCCTACCTGTCAGCCCACAGTTTTAGCCAGATCACCATGAAACCTATACTTTGATACAAGATTGTCCCAGCGGTCTGGCTCCCCTCTGCCATTAACTAGCCATCTAACCTCAGGCTCCTCAGCCAGGACATGGGGATGATGATATGATGATCACTTTAGGAATTACAATGGATTGATTCCTGTGTGTCAGGTACTGGGCTCAGATCACTGCACACATGGTTTTATTTAATCCTTAGAACCACCCAATGACATCAGCGCAATGGAACCAGTTCCTGGGCGGGGTGGGGTGGGGTGGGGGGAGGGGTGGGAGAGGGTGGCTCCTTGTTGATCAACACCAATGTGAACCAAATTCCCATCTTAGCTGTTGAGATCAGATAAACAGCCCTGGATAACATCATCCCAACTGCCTGGATGAGAAAAGTGAATGACTAGCTCAAGATCTCCCTGGTCTTGGAGAGGATGTGTGTCTGGCTATCAGACCGCGTGGCCCGCACACCTGACCCTGACACCGCAACTTGTCACAAGCTAGCTCTGAAAAGGTGTGGCGAAGCCAACCCCTCATTTCAAATGTAAGAGGGCCTGCTTCCCCAGGACATCTGTCCTGGGCTTTCAGATTAAAGCAGTTTGCACAGTGAAAAAAACAGGTATGATGCTCGATGGCCACTGAGCCACCTCATGGGCATCCGATGAAATAAAGCCCTGACTTTGTGTTCTCCAGAGAGGAGATTCTGAATCTACCCCCTGACGCCTCTTCAGGATGCTAAGTTATCCTTCCACACTTTGCTTTGGCTCCTCCCTGTATTAGATCACGATTCTGTTTCCTGGTCCTAAAATAGCAAACACGTCTGCAGTACCTGCCATTCGTTAGCACTTGGTCTACATTCTGCCAATGACTCGCACAAAGAATATAAATGGGTATGTTATTATCCATTTTATGGGAGGGAAAAATGAGGCTCTGACAAACAGGGTATGGAATTTGCTAAAAAACCTCCCAGAGGCAGAGCAGGGACTCGAACCATCCATTGTTTTAAGCATTCTACTCTTGTCTCCAGACACGCCAGCTACAAGGCACCCTGTGGCAGAGGCTGACGTTCTGAGGGAAGTTTTATAATTTCTTCACTCTCCATTTATTTCTGTTCTATTTTAGGTTCATTTTAACTTATCTCATGTTTAGCTTAAAAAGGATGTGAACTTAGTTCTTTTGCTGTTGATTAACCAGGAGCTACCCTGTTATTCCTTTTTTTTTTTAAGTAGCTGGTCCCAAAGTATTAGATCAGATTTCCATTAAGATTCCTAGATTATTCATACCTTGTTTGAGCTAGCCTTCATGTCCTTTTATAGCTGAGCCTGAGGAAATACCAAAATCATCCATACAAACTTTTCTTTTTAATTCTGTTGACTATCGGGTGACTATTTTAGTGAAAATATGATTCAGAGTGTTTGCTATCATGTAGGCAAAAGTTCCCGTTACTGAAAGAGTAGAGTTTTTATTGTTCGTACTTGAATTCACATGTACCTAACCACATGTATGAGATTTTCTCTGATTTTGAAGATCTCAGAAGAAGATCTCAGATTTTCTCTGAGAAAGCCTGCTTCAACTCACACAGCGACCGAGAGCCTTGTGCCTTGCCTGTGTAACCTATGGCCTTCTAAAGTTGAAGGTTTATCCTGGCCATTTTCTACTAGAAACTCCTGTAGCGTGCGCTCTAGAAAGTTGGTCAAAATAGTTGTAGAAGTGGGTGCGTCTGAATCCTTCTGGAGGTGCCTCTAACCTCTGTTTGCAGAGGCAGAGAGAGGTGACAGAATCTGAGACAATTGACAAGGGGGAGACTCCTGCCTGTAATTCACAGTGACGTTCCTCCTCTGGGCTCTGCCCCCTTGTCCTGGAAGAAAGGTGCTGGATATTGCAGGGCTAGCATCCTGTCGTCTGTACTAAAGCAGCCCCCCACATGTGCGCATCGCTGAGAAAGCATGTCACGAGGGTATGCTCTTCCCTTCACGAGCATCGTGTCGAACCTTAGGAAGGGCCTGTTTTCTGCTAAAAGGAACTCCCACATGTTTGACATGGGTTACCTTCAAAAGTATCCGGGGTCTAAAACAGGTCCAAAGGTGGCAGTAAAATTTAAAGCAAATAATGTGTCTTTCCTTCGCTCTATTAAGTTTGGCACCGTTCCCTAGATGACAACTCATGCCACCCCGTCTACTCTATGGTGGCACATCGTTCTATTTCTCTTTTTTAAAATTTCATGCCATTTCCTATTGAACTGATTGGGAACCTTCTGCTTGTGCAACACTGGAAAAGCAATGGTGGTGAGCAGATTGAATCTTGCCAAGTAATAGGCTCCTGTAGCGGATTGACTTCAGTCTTGCTGGCCGGTGCCTGCTCCCTGCTCCGATTAACTCATCATGTGACTGAAGCGAGCCTGTGCGTTTTGTCAGTCTGGTGTGTGGGACGGATGAAGGCTTTGGGTCTAGTCTGCTCTTTCCCAAAGCGAGGGCCTCTTGGGGAAACTGTTAGATCACAATCTCAGGGGATTGTTGCTGGGATTCCATCTGCATTTCAAACTTGAGTACATTAAAGTGGAAAATCAATGTTTTAGGCAATCCCCGGCCTACAACGTTGCTTTTCCTAAGTATTTTTTCATAAGTATTGAGTAAGAAGAAATCCTAAAGACATTATATTCTTTAGAATACCTGATCTCTTATGAAGGAAAAAAAAATATTTAAGGAGTTCTAGACAAATGGCACCCAAAAATATTCCCCACCCTGGCTTGCCCAGTACAAGAGGGATGTTCTTCCACGTGGAAGCCCTGCACTTTCAGGAACCTTCTTGCACTGTGAGTGCATTAAAGTGATCTCAGCCATCCAAGCATTCACATCCAAGCTTGACAGAGATGACCAAGCCAGCCCTTTAGTGAAGTCCTGAGAGAATGACAGAAAGCATTAGCAAGCAAATTTCGATGAGAAAGGCAGAAGGCTGAGTCAAGACCCTGGGCTGCTCATGGGTGAGGACAGACCCAGATCCCAGGGACAGAAGGAGGGTGGGAACATGGGGTGAGTTCCTCTGAGAGTCTGGCCCTACTACACACATTCTGGACATATTCTCTGAATCTGCACATCAGTCACCTCCATTTATAGAGAAGGGAATGGAAGCTCAGAAAAGCTTCTTAACTTGCCTGAGACTGTGTGGCCCATAAGTGGTAAATGAAACAAAACAAACACAAGTCAAATCAAAAGTCCCTACTTTCCTCGCTATATAACTTCCAGAAATCCGGGGAAGGGAGACCTGTGTCCTAAAGAGACAGCGTGAGGATGCGGGAGCAGAGCAGGCGGAGGGGCCTGCAGAGTGGGGAGGTGGAAAGTGGTCAGACCCCAGCTTCCCTCCTGTTTGGCTCCGGCCACCTCAAAGCCCCTCCAACGACAAGCCCTTCAAGTCTGCAAGAGTGTTCATGTCCTTCACGGTTCCTAAAAAATATCACAAGCTCAAAAACGATTAAAGAAGATAATCTTACGGCAACAACCACAAGAGACTTTCTCCACCAGCCTTCAGCTGAGCAAAGCGAGCGCTCTGATGTTCAATGATAAAGACTCCCCCCAGATCTCAGAAGTCCGCACGGCGGTGTTGCGCCGCGCGTGTGACATGAAGCAGGCCACACTGGAGGCTCCATCTGGGCAGCCGGGCTTTCTGAGATGCATACTCTAGTGGCTGTGAGGTTATCTACTCTGGTTATTGCCCCAGGCGTCTGTAAATCAAAGAAGCCCTCAAGTTAGA